GGTCTAAGTTACCCCAAGAGCTGGGGTAACAAAGACCATCACTTTTTTTGAAATTACATAAAGACTATGAGAGGCAGGAGCCAGCAATTTATGGTAAGTGAAGCTAGAGTATAGACCTGTATTTTGCATGTTTCAATTCAAGTTTAATTTAGCTAGTAAAAAAATTACATCATTTATAAAAAAAATGTGGTCTAAGTTACCCCATTTTACGGTAGTATATATCTATCTTTACATATTATTTTTGGAGTCATACTTTATTTATTTTGTGGCACAAATTGCATTGCCCACAAGATTTGAAAATTTCTACTTATTAATAAAATATTGTGGTACCAAAATCTTGTGATATCAACAAATTTGCAATCTTATGGCTGTAACATTACGTATGCATTTGGTTTGATCGTGAATCTTTTGTTGCACAAATATGCATTTTCTGGAAAGTTCAAAATTCAGCTCTTCATGACAATGCTCCATCAAATTTGCTGTGTCCAATATCTTGTTAGAAGTTTTTTAACATTACAATCAGTTGGCAGTTTGCCTATAGCAACTTGAACTACACTATTAATGTAGGATTTTGTCATGCTCGTTTAGCATGGAGGTCAATTCATGACTATCTTCTCTTAATGGTGTATATGCTGTGGTCAAAGTGTAGTGACCATACAGATACACACAACAAATAGTTGCTCAACTTTCTGCCTTTCTGTACAATTCAAAATTACTGCCTTTTTACTAAACTACTCTTTAACTTCACTTCTTGTTCGTGTGTGCACGAAATTTTGCACACTTGCATAAAGTTGGAGACAATGTATGAATCAATTGACAGAATAAATAATAACGGAAATTTAATTTTTTTATACATTAAAAATATTTAAAAGTAATTTTTTAATATTTGAAAATAAAATTAGAAATTAATTCTACTTGTGTAACATCAGAGACACTGGATTCTTTAGAAGTGTTGTATTTATAAAGTAATTTTTAAATGCATAATATTTGGCATGCATTTTGTAACTGTCTTTTTAGAACAATCCAAGTTATTGGAGGTATTTTAATCAATCAAAGCTACATATAGACCAACACAAATTGGAATTAACTTTTAGAAATTTCTGAATACCACTGATTTATTGATGTAAAAATTAAAATGATATTGGCTTGACCAGGACCAGGACCATTATTTCTTGCTGAACTCACTTTCTTGTATTTTTACAAAATTTCTTTGTTGACAGCGAGCCAATAAAAGTATGTGTGGAGACGGCTGTGCGCTTCTACGTCATGGAGAACTTGTGTGTGGGCCACAGCACAGATCTTGGCAAGATCACAGCAGTCTGCCAGGTTTGTTACCAAGTAATTTGATTAAGTGCATTATTTATGCTACAAGTGTTACCAAGTCAATCAAGTGTTTTACATCAAGTCAAGTCAAGTGTTACCAACAAGTCAATACCAAGTGTTTTACGAAAGGCCCTTCGATAAATCTTAATCAATCTAGTCAGTAGAATTGTGAGATCAAAAGTTTTTGCAAATTATAAAACTTTATTTCTCTTTACAAGAGTTATAAGCATTTGGAATGTAAATTTTCCATCTTGAATCTTATGAAAATATTCAGGTTGAAAGGTAGCGGTTGCAAGAGCAGAATGAATAATTTATTTACTGATGAATTTCTCTTGTGCTATTAGGTTGTGGAACATATTTCACATAACTTGCATCAATTATTGTAGACCATAATGAACAATACTACTGGCATCTCTCCTGTTGTCAGTTAGGTATGATTAGTTTACAGTTTCATTTTTCAATAAAAATTTAGATATGTAGTAAACTTTGTCATATTCATGTTCAATTCATACATAATTACCCAAGATGATTGCTGTGTTGACTTCCTGCTTATTTGGGCCAGTTATTTCATTTCCCAGTTTTTGCCATATCTATAATATAGTGGATGAAATGAAACATAGCTTTCAATCTAGAACCTTTTGAGTGATACCTATAGCTGCATCACAAATTTGCAGTATTATATGCCATGAAAATTTTCAGATTATAAACTAGTTATTTGTGAAAGAAAAATGATTAGGGTATTAAAATTTAAAGAATTTGAAGAAATTTTTTTAATTATTATAATTTTATTATTGATTGGCAATTGTTTCAATTTAGTCAGATTGTGACCATAGCATCCTAGGCTTTACTTGCAGTACGTTATTCCCATATTTAAGTTTTTGTATGGAATAGGTTATGGCAAAAATTGTGCAGAGAGAGAGAGAACTTTGCAATGAAAAACTGCTACATTTATTATTAAATTGGAGAATTCTAGTCACGTTCTAAAGTAACAAAAATCTCTAGTACAGCTGAAGTGGTAACCCGAACACAATAACAGTTGAAAATCAGTTGACATCACTCAAATCTCCTACTTGTACCAGAAATGTTGATCCATTGCAGTTCCTTTGAGTAGTACAACTTGCATAAATGACCATACTTTGGGCACATGTTTGCAGGCATATCTTCAGCAGCAATACCACAGTGGTAGCTGCACGTCCCTGCAGTCGCTTTTCACAGTCACTCTGTTTTCAGAGCCATAATCTCTTGTACTTAGATTGATGGATCACAGCCAGTCTGACTGTAGAATTTATATAACAACCATACTTTGGAATAGTGGCATTCTCTTCATTGTCGGGAATGTTACTCCAAGCTCATTTCCATACTTCTGCTATTGGTGATTGTGATCTTATTGCTACTGACGGTGACTGACCATACCATGCTGATAACTGAATTGAAGAGCTGTGGTGGTGCAGTGGTGAAAGACTCTGTCTCTCGCACCGAGCTCCCAGGTTTGAGTCCCACTGAAGATAAATTCTTCCAGGAAGCTCAGCTCATGGTCAACTCAGTCATTCATCCAACTCTGGTTGATAAATGAGTACCTGGCTTGCCCAGGGTGTTGTGAAAAGCAATAAAATGGTTCTGGCAGGTCAGCGAGCCAGTGATGGTCGTAGAACTACCAGTGGCACCAAGTGCCCAGAAAAACTGACCTATCACCCCCGCCCTCCCTAGTCACCACTACCAGGATGGGCAATTACAACAACATAACTGAATTGATGATAATTCTTGTGCAGTGCTTGCTATGGAATGTGCTTACAGTATTGCTGGCTCTATATTTGTTGAAGGCCTTCTTGTCTCTCCTACTGTCTTATGGCCATTGCTCATAAATTTCTATTATGCTATTAGGTTAAAGTCTTAGTGGTTTAGTGGTATGAACGTCTTAGAGTCCTGGCCAGCTGTTATTNGCTCCTAAAATAAAGTTTTCCTGTGTTTGCAGCTGACATGTGAACTAGCACGTCAGGAGCTGTGTCTGCCAACGCTTCCTATGTTGGTGATTTCGGATGCATTTGATTCTCTCACCGTCCAGCAATGTGAGAAGCTCTTCTCCTTTGTTGAAGCCAATGTCAGCATCTGGAAAGAACCTTTATTTTTTGCACCCAGCAAAAACCAAGTGCTCAGGATGTGTAACGGTGAGTTTTAACTGGCAAATTTTGTCATTTTTCTATATTTTCCTTCTTCATGGTTTGTAGAGATTTGATTCAAAATTAGAGTTAGATCAACAAGCACATTTAAGTCAGGTCAATTTATTTGTTGTACAAAATATAATATCTATCAAGTCTTAGTAAGTTTCCAGTTGAATTAAAGCTGTTAGAATTGACTTGTATTAAAAACATATTTCAGTTATATATTGTACGGCTAATGGTGAAATTCAAATTTTAAAAATGATTTATATATACCACAAAGGTACTAGATATTGGGCACATAAGTGTCTTTTCAAGACATTGGGAGATAAAATGGGTTAACTCACTCCAGTGTCTAGGATGGAATTTATTGTATTGAAAAGGTGATCATTTTTGCAAAGGTAACTTTAGTTTATAACATTGTATGTATCCAGTAAATTGAACCTATTTTCAAATTTTATGATGCAACACATTTATATACACCTCCATCTGCCACCTATCTTGAACATAACATCCAGCACAAGCGTGCTTCGTATATATCAATCACCTTGCATTCAGTTTATATTCTTGCTTGTTTCCAGACGTGTTGCGCCGACTCTCTCGGTCACAGAACACAATATTCTGTGGTCGCATTCTGCTGTTCCTGGCTCGCTTCTTCCCCTTCAGTGAGCGCTCTGGTCTCAACCTCATCTCGGAGTTCAACCTTGAGAATGTTACCACCTACTCAGCCAATGAGAATGACGATGCAATGGACGTTAGTGAAGGTGAGTAAGCATACAGTCAATCCATGAGCGCAGTAGACTTCATTTAAGATTACCGTATAACTGTGATAGTCTTGTGAAGTTGTTGACACTTGTTTTTACTTTATCATTCAAGAGAATATGTGATAATATATTGTACTAATATTTACTCTCCTTTTGACGCTATGAGCAGAGCTGGTAATATTATACATTCATTCTTTTGAACTAGATTAAAATTTTTTCTATATGTTTCAAGTTTACTCTTATTTTCTATCAGTAAAAGAAGATAGTGTCAGCGAAGCTAAAGAGGAGAAAAAAGATGAAAGCAAACCTGCTTTGGACCCCACTTTGTACTCCAAGTTTTGGGCTCTGCAGGACTTCTTTAGGAACCCCATCCAGTGCTATCAAAAGGAGCCATGGAGGCTCTTCACCTCTGTGAGGAAATGTCATGTGTTATCTTTGCACCCACCACCCTATCTGAGATATGACATCAATTTATTCGAGTATAATATATGTTTTTTCATAATATAATTCTTATTTTACAGTGTAATTATATATTTTTCATGTAGTCTGATGTATATTAGCCTCATTCATATATATTTGCATCCTAATAGTTATGTCTTCTACATTATATTTTTTAACAACAATTTTCTGTTAACAATTGCTCATTTTCATGTTTTTTTGTCTGCTGTATTAAATTAGGAACATTCAAGTACAAATGATTGCACTTTTCAATATGCTTTTGAAATTATGAATTTCTCTATGGGATTAAATCAGTTCCTTATTAGAGGGTAAAAATATTTGCTTAAAAATGAATGATAATAATTGAGTCTTGTATAATTTGGTTGCTCCAAATCAGCTTTGGATAAAGAAATGTTAGCTAATTTTTGTCTGGTGTGCAGTACACGGCTGACGTGCTGGAGGCGTTCAGCAGCTTTAAGTTGGAAAGTGAAGGCCGCGGTGGCGCTGAGGATGGCAAAGTGAGCTCGGCGCCACGCTTCTATAATGACGTCACCCAACTCTCTTCCGATGCTGATACTACCATCATTGATTCGCTGCCTGACGTCAAGAAGGTTAACATCTCGTGCAATTTGAGCTATGATAAATTGACAGAGTTTTCGTGTAACGGTCATATTTTTTTATGTTCATATTTGTAAATGCTAGAGTACCTTTATTTTTCTCAAATTTGAGTAATGAAACCCGTTGATTTTTCACCATTTTTGTATGCTATAGTCACAAATGAGGAGTAAAGGCTATGCATAAAGGAACTTCAAATTAGCAAAGAAAAATATATTTTCACCATGTTTTAGTAGCTTAATTATGTTCGTTTTCCGGCTGTAAATTCGTTGGCAAATAATTTCGTAGACTATGAATAGTGTAACTTAATTCTTGATTGTTTTTATTTTTTATTTGTGCAGATTGATCAATACTTTGCCAAATTTTTGACGAACAAACGTTTGCTGGAGCTGCAGTTTAGTGACAGCAACTTCCGGCGCTACGTGCTTGTGCAGCTGCTCATCCTCTGCCACTACCTCACTGCTGCCATCAAATTCAAACAGTTCGTTCCTACTTCGTTGTCCTGAACTGTGCCATACTTATGTTGTTGAAAGCTGGTGGTTATTGGTGCGTTTTCAGAAGCTGGTGGTCGTTGATGCGTTGTCAGAAGCTGGTGGTCGTTGATGCGTTGTCAGAAGCTGGTGGTCGTTGATGCGTTGTCAGAAGCTGGTGGTCGTTGATGCGTTGTCAGAAGCTGGTGGTTGATGCGTTGTCAGAAGCTGGTGGTCGTTGGTGCGCTGTCTGAAGTAAGAGACAGCAGCTGTTGGCTGCCATTGCAGTTCCAGTTGATTGTGATTGCCGTATTGGAGTGGGTTTGCATTTTTTTATTGTTTTGTCTTGAAATCCTATAGTAATACATATTGTTGAGTCTTGCCACTCTGCAGTAGGTACTCATGTTGAAAATGAATTGAAACGCAGATTGATTCATTTTCAGCGTTTTAATTTATACTCCAATTTTTATGTCCTGGATTTTACGTTTGCAACAGTTGTTTTATTTTGGCAGTTACTTCTTTCCGTTTGAGATACCATCAGAATGTTTCAAAAGTAACATCAATATATTTTGTGCACCTTCACCAATTTGATAGTTTATATTCGAATGCATAAACTTTAAATTTGGAAGTTTATTGTTCAATTTCACCGATTCTGAACGACCAAGTCATAAAGGATCTATGTTACCCTTATCCAACGAACAGTAAGCATTATTTTACTATACAGAGAGAGTCTGGGTGAAGGAGAAACTGCGTGGGTGCGCGCCACCGAGGAGAAAGTCTTCGGTCTTCTGATGGAAACTCCGCCTGATGGAGAGGAATTTGCGGAAATCATCAAAAAAATTCTCAAAGTTTGTGCATCCTATTTTGCTTATAGTATGTGCTTTGTGATAACCAACTCATTGAGAATGAGCTTTGAATAACTTAATTGTTATGTTTTAATAAGTTTTTCTATTACTTGCTCCAAGTATCTAAAACTAACTTCAAATATAAAGTTATGGAACAATTATTATTTACTGAAGTTTTTTTTCATAGTATTCCAATTTTTATATCCCGGCTTTTTACGTTTGCAAATGTAGCTCGTTTTTAAATTTTTTCTTAAAAATTCATAATTTGGGAAAATTAGAAGAACGTTCAATTGCGATTTTAATCATTATTGTGTGTACATATTCCATCAGCACCGACAGGATTTTTTACATTTCAAATGATTATTTTGATAGAGAGAAGATTTTTGGAATGACTGGAAGAACAGCGGATGTCCGGAAATCAAGGAACCAGCACCTGCTCCCCCTGCTAACGTGCATGGTGTCAAAAATGAGGTCCGTTGATTCAACATCAACAATTATGATCATTTTTTATTGAAAGCAATTTTAGATTTATGTCATCGAAAATTTGAAGCTCGCCTGGTTCTTGAGATAGTACGTTAACACGTTGAGTGTGGCACGACCTACCAAGGTTGCCTGCCACATTGCCTAAAAACAGCAAAATCCGCAGACAAAAAAGGTTTAAAATACAATATTTATTAGTAAATTTGTGTGTACCGGTGCAAAAATTCAATTTTCCTTTTTTTCTAATTTTTAAATGTAACAAGGAAGTATCACCATCATAAATTTCTGCCGATAAACGCAATTGAAAAAAAGACTTTGCAATCCACCGGTGGGTCGTACCACACTCGTGTGTTTTACGATTTGTGTCGATCCGATTTGTACAGAGTTGCAATCGGATTGTTTCCTTAATAAGTTTTGTGTGCACTATAATTTCGTTTAACTATAACCGATTTTTTATTGCAGGACGACTCAAAGCAATTGAAAAAAGGCAAAAAGAGGAAACTGGGAGACCTAATCCGTGAAGCCGAGGCTCGAAAGAAGTTCATAATGGCAAAGTAAGTGCCTCTCATTTGATGAGCAAAGGTGATAAAGAATATTTACACTTGTTCAGTTTGACGACAATTTGCTCATAAAAACACAATCGGTATATTAGTGAACACAGCCGACCACCAATCGTCGCCTTGAAAATTTTATGAACAACAGTAGCTTGATACGCATTGCAATTGAACGGGCGAAAAATTGTTGCGAGGGGGCGAATTGCAGTAGTTGAATCGCAACTTGAAAGAAATTTAGGTGAATGTGAAACAACCAAAAAATTATTTAGTGACAAATTTTGTATGCTTTCAGTCCGGAGATGACTCGCCTCTGGAATCTGTGTCCAGATAACATCGCTGCAACAAGGCAGAAGAAGAGGGACTTCATCCCGTCGCTTGAAGATTATTTCATCAAAGCAGTCGAACAAATCCACTGTGAAGAAGAGCCTGTCACTGAGAGGTAAGATTTTTTACAAGTTATTTTAGTTACTACTTGCTTCCAGGGTTTTTATGTACATGTGTAACTGATGACACTGGATTAAAACTGGTATCCTAATCATAGCTAAAGTTGGCGAATGAACAACATCGCCGCCTGTTAAATTTCAAAGCCAAAGTCAACATGCCTTTCTATACTTCTCAATGAAGTCTGTATGTTGTGTAGGTCAAAAATGCATAATGTAAGCTGTGTAAATTGGTTCGAGCGAGGTTAATTAGTTGGTTGAAGCTGCTTATATATATCGGATGATTCACCAGGGTTTTACCTGACAATTTACCTCAGCCAGTCACTGCCTTAGAAGCAAGCACGGAGGCTGCTAATCCGGGCGGCCACTTGTGCAACTGCTTTGATAGGTTGCCTCAATCTCACCTCCGTCAACTCGCTGTTTATTTTTCCATTCTGTTGATGTAGCGATGCAGCAGTGAAGAAGAATCACAGTTAGAATAGAATAGCAGTGTCGGCACTGAAGAAATAGGCCCATGGCCTCTTGCCGATTCTTGTACTTTTCGTGACTTGATTCCACAATGGATCCAGCCTTTTGAACACGATCTTTCCATAACTGACGATTGATTGAGATAGCTGCTAGACTTATTGCAAGGCCCGCAAGCTTCATGGCATTTCAAGACTGAACAAGTGAACATATGCTCCTGCATAGCTTCGTCTAGTCTGTTCTTGAAGGCGTTCATACTCAGATCGTCAACGATGCTGTCAGGGAGGCCGTTCCACATGTCGGTGATTCGAAGCGATAAGAAATGTTGCATAAATGCGTTACATTTTTCTTTTTAATTATGACTTTTCTAGTCACCGTTTGGAGAAGAATTTTGTTTGAAACCCACCTTATAGTGATGCCTGGTAAAATAAGCATAGGGTAATTATCGATACCTTATAAAATTGAGGAGTTAAACGCGGAATATATTAATAAGAAGTACTCTGGCAGTGTTCTTTCTCGAATTCGAAGAAATGCTTCAATCAAGAACTATTCCCTCTGTACTTAACAAAAACATACTGTTAGTTTGAGCAGTAGACCATCGGATTTCAATTGGCTTATCTTTTTGCCTTTCCATCACTAGGTAGCGGAAAAACTAGACTCGTATGTGTTTTTTAGCGCATTTTCACTTTTACGAAAAAAAGGCCCTATTGTGCTCGTCATGTCTGTCCGTCCGTGACCGCGTTTTCGTCGACGAGAAAATGCGCTGTCTCACTCACTGCAGTGAATACTGAGCTATTTTTTTTTTCTTCCTAGACTAGTCTACGATAGCGATTTTGGTTGGCGAGGTCTTCGACTCCTCGCGTGCAGGTCACCCCATTTCTTCACTCAGTCCACGGCTCCCATCGCCACTTTACCTGAGTACCTCACGACAATGATCAAGAAACTTGCCAAGGACATACCGGTGAAAATCAGAGTCTCATTTGTCATATAATTCATTCAAAAAATTAAGTCATAAATGGTTTTATTCGTCTCTTGACGTTTATTTGCTTTATTTGTTTATCTATTCTTTCATAATCCTACAAAATAATGTGCTAAACTCTGAATAACGAATAACACATATAGAATGAATGAAAATGTAGCCTGGCTTGCTCTGGCACTAGATTTGAATATTCTACAAGTTTCTCCTTTGGTTTTGCCTTATTGCCTTTAGTTCACCCCTTCATATTCATGTATAGTTAATATTACTTTCTCAGCAGTATTGAGCTCCTGCATTTTTTTTTTTTTTTTTTTGCAGGGTATAAGCAGCAAACTTCAGCAATTCCAAGAAAAGCTTGAATCTCAGCAAAAAAAGAAACAAGAAAAATCGCAAGTGCAGGCCGAGAATGTCAAACCTAAAGAGGAAGAGAAGATTCCCGAAGAGTCCGAGAACTGCGAAGAAGAACCTAACGACGATGAAAACGATAGGGTGGAATTACACCCCATCACCGATGAAGAGCGATTGGCCCTCGCCACGAAGCTGGCAGCCCTTGGAGGAGACAAGTGGCGTCTCCTGCTCACCAAGCTTGGCTTCCAAGATGACGAAGTGAGCTGTCGTTCCGAATCATGATGAATCATTACTTATCTTTTAGTCGCATTAGGCAAGGAGTGTCTTGGGATTCTACTTGTTTGTTGAGACGGATTCTGTTGTTACAACTTAGTGATTACACCTTTGTTGGTCATATTCAGAGGATTCTGTTGTTACAACCTGGTGATTACATCTTTGGTGGTCATATTCAGATACCTCAACCGTTCATTGGTGGTCATATTCTTTTCTTGTAATAATCTGGCTGTCTGATTTTCGAGTAGAAAAGAATAGAAATTAACAATAATGTGACTTTAAAAAATCACATTTTTTTGCCTGATGTTTCAATGGTGCAATTGCCTGAGTGATTGACTACACGCGCTGCTTCACTGTGTACTACTGAAGCAGCTGTGGTCTTGCCAGTATAAATCATGTGCATTGGCCTGCTCTTGGTTAGTTTCCTATTCCTTCATAGTAAAACCCAGGTAATAATAGGATTTTTGTAGTATTAAACTTTTTGTGATACTCCCCAGGTACAGTACATCTTTGACAAGAAAAAGAGCAAAGTGCAAGATACCGTTCTGCACTTCCTGCAGCTGTGGGTGGAGAACGAGGCGGAGGAAGCCAACAAAGAGACCATCGTTTACACGCTGGGAGGACTCAAGATGCAGGACGTCGCCGAGAGCGTCTTCCACTGATGCTAGTGTTTGGTCTTTGTCAGCTATGTTACGAATCTTCTCAAGATGAAAGATTAGGTAGGGACTTATTCGCAAGATATTTCATCGTGTTCATTTCTTTCATTCAAATCTTAGTCCTGTTGGGTCCCAGGGCGTAAGTAAATAAATTTAATACCATGTCCTGATGTGGAGTGTAGATTTTTACTTCTGCCTAAAAGAATTATTAACTCCATAACGCTGGCGTTTTTCGTTTTTACAGCTAAAGAAGTGCATTCTCGCTAGAAAGATCTTTTCAACGACTACGTTGAACTTGTTACGGTAACAAATTACGTTTTACTCATTACGGTATCGGCATTGGAATATGCACTTGTGACCTTGTTTGCCAAGACATGACTTTTATTTCATTCGTAGTTTGGCTGTCTGCATTCGGTATTGAGTACATCGACTCGGGCTTGGAGTCAAGGTCAAGTTTACCCGAGTTGAAAGTCTTTCGATGAATCATACAAACCAGTTGTCATATTATTTTCCTATCAGAGAACATCAATAAAGGTAATGCATTCTGACGAGGTTTGGGGGAATGATTTGAACATTTATTTTGCTATTAGTTGACTGCACTTCAGTTTTTTTCCTTTAACAAAATTAGTGCAGCTATTGTATAGGTTTTCAGAGCACTCAATCTGATCGATGAGAAAATGAAGAGATATGAAATTTGAGCGTTCTTAATAATTGATTGGAAGTCGTATTGTATTAAAACTTCTTTTAATATTGGTATGAAATATATTAGCCAATAAATTAAGTTTTATTCATTAGGAGAAAACTTTTTTCTTTCTTGCAAAAGTATAAAAGAAAGTTCATGGTTTCACATTGATGGAAAGCGCGTCTCGTGTAGATTTATTTTTTTGGTAACATTAAATTCATCAAGGTAGCTACGACCGTTTCTCAACTAATTAGAGCTCATTTAGTTCCTACTTTGAAGACATTGAAGGCGACATATTAAAGAAACTCTACTCAGGAGAAAAATAATGTTGTGGAATACTATTTTTTAATTATCACTATACAATGATGGCTATTTTCACTGTTACGAGTTCCGAGCAACTTCTAAAGTAAAAGCATGAAAGCAAGGACCTCATGGTGAACAAGCCCTGTCTATGCAAGTTTGTAAGCAATTGGAATAGGTTCTTTCTGTACTGTTATCTCGCAAACTACTCAATGAGAGACGCACCAACCTCCACCTGTGGGTGAAGTAGGTGCGACGCACAGAGCGAGTTCCTCCTGAGGTCCATCACAATAAGCTCGCCTCTTTACATTCAAAAACATTAATTTCTTCTCATCTATCCATTACATGCAATTGCAGCGGGAGTGAAGTCAGAATTACAACTAAAACAATTGGTACAACTGAACCTACTCCATCATATAAGTGCATAAGGCTACATTCTTTTCAAGTGTGACAAATTTCCGAGAGCAAATAAAGAATGATAGCGACAGTTTAAATAACTCATATTTAACATATGGAATGGACCACAGAAAGGCACTTTATAAGCATGAAAAACCAAGCTATCTCTCCATGACTGGAGTACAGCTAACTCTTTAAGAATGTAAAAGCAAGCAGTTATACGAAAATTAAAACTTACACGAGTTGTGACTATTTAGCAAGTTTTATTCCACTCGACAAAATATTTAGTTGCGCGAACCATTCTAACGTAAGTGCCAAATTATGTTTCAAAAAATAAGGATATGAACTTAAACGATAGGCTATGTACAAAATCATAACAAAAAATCTTTATTCACGCAAGAAAGAAATCCAGTTTTACTGCTAATTCTTGCCGTTTTGAATTGACGTTCAATTGAACAGGCTCAAATTTTGAATGATGACAAGCATTTTAAAAATAACAGAGAATACGTACTTGTTTCCTATCGCTTTATTATCTATGAAAATTCAAAAGATGTTAACATCATTGGACAGAAATGAAGTGGTACGACTTAAGAACGCCAAAAAATGTGTCTGAATCTGGGATCAAATTTCTCTGATTAAAATACAAGAACTCTAACTTCATTCTCTACTTATTTGACAAAATTCAGAATGAATCAAGAGTGGACTTAGGAAATACCGGTTCGAAACAAATCATATAAAAACTTACACTGGCAACGCTTCAGAAATAAGAACAAGCCAAGCTTTCATTAGCCATCATCTTTGATGGTAAAAAAAGGCAACAAAGGGCGATACAAAACAAAGCGTTAGCACCCTCTATCGAGTATGATGTACAGAAAAAGCAGATCCTATCTGTAATTTGACTAAACAATCGCTGAACCAGCTTTGCCACAATTCTTGTATTTAATCCTCATACGAGAAGATAGATCATGCTTCATGGCTTTTCCTCTGCTGGCTTTGAAAGTGAATGCGATAGAATATGTAGCCTACAAATTCAACAATACAAGATTTTTCAAGATCAAATACGGTAAATATAAACCTTAAAATCGTTCAAAAAATGGCTAATGTTCACCGTTACCATTGATGAGCACTTCCTCGACTGTGGTTGTAGTGGTGATCAACTCTGCTTCTCCGTTCAGGTGAATTTCATTGACTTCCTTAGTGAGTACTTCAACACTCGTCTCTTCCTGTGCCTGCTTTATCTCTTCTCCTTCGGTCTCCGGAGAAGGAACCTCCTTGACATTTTTATCATCATTGTCAATTACAGCAGGCTCGTCCGAGGCAGTTTTGCTCTTTGCGACAACAGAACTGGCCGTTCGTGACTTCAATCCTGTGATCGTTGTTGTGGACTTCCGAGTGGTTGCTGAAATCAATTTTGAACAAATAAGTACGAATTCGTATCATTCAAAAATGAACAATAGATTTTCAAATCTATCTTTATCTATACTAATCCTTACAAAAATAATATAATGCGATCGTACTTCCCTTAGGCAATCACAACTCAATAAATATATAGTCGCATAATAACAACTGGTTGAGTCTGGCTTCTTGAATTTTTAAGAATTTAAATACACCGAAACTTAGTTATCTTATTGAAGTAATGAACTGCAATAATAAAGTATACATGGTCAACTACTGACTCCAGCTGAATCTATCAAGAAACTTACTTGTTGTTTTGGCAGCAGTAGGTTTGTGAGTAGGTGCTGCGGCTGTGGTAGTTCGAGTGGTGGTCCTCGTGACAGTAGATGAACGAGAAGAGGATGACAATAGTTTGTTGGTGCTGTTCTTAATATCCTTCTTTTCGGATTCAGCAGGCTTGGCAGCGGTCGTCCTAGGAGCAGAAAGAGGCTTACGAACAAGTGGCACGCGTGCTGCAGTAGAATTTTTGGTCGTGGTGGTAGGATCTGACTTGGAATCAGTGCTGTCCTTAGCTGCAGTTGTCAGAGGACGACGGGTGATGGGCACTTTGCGGGCTGTTGTGGGAGTGGTTGCAGCAGACGATGGGCGGCTGGATGTGCGAGTAGCAGATGAAGGGGTAGCAGAGCTACGAGCGGATGATGGTGTCACACCAGGTCGGGTAGTGCGAGTGCTTGGCGTAGGTCGCGAAGCAGGAGCACTTGCAGGAGTAGTGCGAGTTGTTGAGTTACTGGGAGTAGAGCGAGAGGCTGAGGGGGTGGTCGTGCGCGACGCAAGAGGAGTGCGGGTGGTGGTAGTTGTTGTGGTTGTTCGAGTGGATGTAGCAGAAGATGGGCGAGATGTCGGGGTGGTGGTAGTGCGAGTAGTTATGGTAGTTGTACGAGCCGTAGCACGAGTGGTTGGAGTAATTTTGGTAATGGCCGTGGTGGCGCTGCTGCGCACTGCACCACCGGGGGTTGTGCGTGCTGTAGGTCTGGGTGTGCCAGGCTTTACGGAAGAGGTAGCAGGAGAAGCTTTGGCAGAGGCTGCTGCTGCAGTCTTAGTTGCAGGAGTAGCTTTTGCAGCCGTAGTAGGGGTGGTTTTCGTTCCACTAGGCGTCAATCTAGAGCGTGCAGCAATTCCAGCAGTACGAGGTGCCGGCTTAACTGGAGCCTTCTTGGTGGCAGTTGCTCCCTCTACAGTAGGAGGTACGATTTCTGAAATGATTTCCTCGTCTCTGGGATGGATGTCAGCTTTAGGAGTATGAATGGGGGAAACCGGCCTGTCATCAATCATGGGAGCTTTGATTGGAGTGGAAGGCATAACATCACTGACAGGAGCGGCCTGAAGTTCATCAGAGAGAAGAAACTCATTAGACATCTCTTCAACAACAGGATTTTGTTGTGCCAAATCAGCAGTGATGGGTTCAGGGGAGTGAACAGGCTCTTCCGCTTGGTAAGATGCATTGAGGTTGGCTTGGTTCATTTGTTCAACAAGCAGTTCCTCTGCATCCGGAGATGGCACATTATTTGACACAGGACTCCGCGGAGCAACGGCAGGTGGCGATGAGGGGCAATCATTTGGTGTGAAAGAAGCAGCTTCGGGTGATAGAGAGCTCTCCCGTGGAGAGAATTCAGGTGCATTGGGCGATAGATTGACTTCGCTTGGCATGAAAGGCGCAGCTAGAGGAGACAAGTGGGCATCAATAGGTGACACAGGCGCATCCACTTGGGCAGCTGAAATGCCACTGCTACTTCCATCATGAAAGTGGGTAGCTTCAGGACTGAGGATTCTATCACTGTCAGATGAGATGTGGAGAACCTGCGCAGTTTCAGGCTCTTGCAGATTGTTGTAGAGCACTTCATTGTTCCCACCGAGATACTGCATCATTTCTTCAACATCCTCAGGAGCATCAGATATCGGTTTTTCCAGAATCATTGAAGTGGACATGAGGTCATTCAGAGGAGCCTGTGTGAAAGCAGGAGATGGAGAAGATGCCCCGTCAAACGACTGCGGAGGGAACTGTTCCTCAGACACCTGACTCGGAGATGAAGCCATTTCGGTCGGGGAAGGTGGAGCTTCAACTTCCACAACTGACTGGGCATGCACAATTTCAACACCCTGTTCTGCAAAGTCGCGGACACTAGTCTCCACCGTCACTGGGGATGTTGAACTTTGATAATTCTGAGCCCCTTCTTCGCTGATGACAGTCACTTCTGAATTTATTGCTTCAACAGCATTTGCGAGAGGATCCAGACTGGCAGGCTCGGGCGAGCTGCTGACATAGACACTGAATGGTCCACTAGGCTGCTCAGCTGATTCGTGTTCGTGCAAGTCTACACCTGAATACTGTTCTTGAGCTGGGTTCAATTCAACAGATGTGACAAAACCTTCAACAGATCTTGGGCTGGACGGAGAAGAGGGATCGCCGTTTTGCACAGTGATGGACTCAATGCCCTCAAGAACAGGTTTGGAATGCTGATCAGCCACTTCATTCACGATCTGGAAAGTGTTACTTTTGTTAGGCAAAATATCTCCATAGGATATTTTTATAAACAAATATTTTGAGACTCAATAATAGTTTCCTGCTACACAAAACTTCTACTAGTCATTTTATGGAATCAGATTTCAAATTTTTTATGGTTTTGTGTTTAGAAGATGAATTCCTTATAGATTTATTTGAGGCAAATTGAAGAAATGGTGTAAAACCACTAAATGGATAAGTGGAACAAAAAAAAAAAAAAGCTAAGAAACAGTAAGTAATAGAACGCATATAAATAATAATAATAGATATTTGATGCACAGCACTAAGAAGAAAATGAAAAACTTATGATGTGACACTAGCATACAAAACAAATGCAGTACATATTTTAATATCAGTTCAGCTCATACCGTCACTCAGTGTATTGAGAAATCAAAACAGAGAAATATGAAAACTAATTGTAACTAATCAATCAAGAATTACCTCCTTATCTTCTTGATTGTCGTAATGTTCACTGCTAGGATCAATGTCACCATCAGGTAAGCTGTCCAACTCCGCCAAAGCAGATTCCACTGGAAAAAAATGTAGCATTTAATTTTTTCATACTGATGACAACTTAGACATAAAAAAAATGTTTATATCATAGAAATCCAAGTTCATTGAGTTAAGACAGAAAATTGGCACTGTGCAACAATGCTTCTTTTCATCAGTTACTTCTCAAGAGAAATTAAAATATCAAATGAATAACTTCCAATGAAGAATTAAATTTAATAAAACATTTTTCTGAACGATTAATTTTGAACTAAATTTTCTATCTACACCTGCTGAAGCACATTCATTAGTCTGTTGTAGAAAAAAAAGGATTGTATTTTTGCTGAGGATGGATTCAACCATACTGGATTAAAATGAAAGAAAATGGATGAACGAGTCAATGGCACATCAATACTATTGAAATTGCTAATGGTCAAAATAAAAGAGTCTTGCATGATTTGATTTGAAACAATATGAAATTTGGGAGGGTTATAATGTTATATGGTATATAAATGAACTGGAAAAACTTGTGTAAGTAAATTGTGCTGTTAGAGCAGAAAATGGACCTCCGTTGTATAACTTTGCTATGGTTTTAGGATGAAGCAAGTTACTCAGCTACAGTGCTACACATTTGCATTGTAAAATTTCGTTACACAAAGAAGATGGTGAAAAAAATATAGAGCAGACCACTAGCTTTGAATTTGAATGAGGTAAGTGCACTTCAATCAAAACACTACCATTTCTTTGCAAAAAATAATTAAGATTGAAAGCATGAAAAGTTAGTGTGATCAGAGGTTCTGAGCAACAAGCAGTTATTTAAATGTGTTGAATGTAAATCAAGCACTATCTATACTTCATTCAGCATAATGGCAAAGCAAAGATTTTATTAGACTCTTCCTTTTTGAGCCCTCTCATCCTTCGTGTTTAGTGCAAACCACCAATGACATTCTCAAGGCTTGGAAGATGAGTTCAAGTGTCCTCTTTCAATGAAGTTCACTTATAAATCTATTGATTGATTTATACTTATCCTGTAAAATATAACCAGTAGTACAGTGATAAAAATGTAAATTCCTTTCATCTATTATTGAACAACAACATTTTTTAAAAATTGCTATTTTAGTTGTACTATATACTTCAGCAAGTTCTGATAAAGAGTGAGAGGTTAATAATAACACCTAATTAGAACATTCAACAACGGGTAAATTTCTAATTTAAATTCAATCTACGGAATTTTATTCAACGAAAACACCAATTGTCAGCTCGGATTTGAAAAAAAAAATAATTTTGAAGGCATAAATAAAGCAACCAGGCAAACGCGGAGACGCTAGGCTACCGGTATCGGTATGTCGCTGTATGTGCTAATGGCTGGCTAGCTTCAACGTTGAAACAGATGCTCGACCAAGTTCACAATACCTTTAGATATTCAAACAATTTGCGTACGAAATATCAAATATAAAATAAAACGACACACCAGGTTAACAAACACACCTCAACAAATGTAAAAATATAATCAATGGTAACACTTCTGACACGTTACATCGGTTGGGCAATATTTACGCGGGAAGATCAACAGGCACAGCCGTACACTAGCGCGCTCTGGCAGCCAATGCGCGAGCCAACCTAACCTGTTGTTGGCCGAGAGAGAGCTGCTTCTCGCTCCTGAACTTGAGCAATGAAGGTCGATAAAGTTGTATTATTGTCATGAGCACCTTCGTTTACAGTTAAACCTAAAGCTAACGTTTCCAAGCCGTTGGCAACGCATTCATTGTTGCTGTTTTATTCATAAATGGCGATGAAATGAGTGCAGCATGGTAAGATGAATTACTCTAATACCCTATATTCAATTGCAATTTTTAAATATCATATATTCATATTGGTCAGTCACTTGCAATAAACCTTCGACTGTTCCCAACAATTATGGATGAAACGCTACGGATATTGTGTCTTGCTGCTTGCGTAGGTACTACCTACATATGAGCTCAAGCTACGTTAACTTGAGGAATTTTGCTCACGATACATCCTACTACGTAGAATTTTAAAATGTCGTAATGCAATTGGAATTTGAAAAGATTAATCAAAAGCATTATATAAAATCGTGTGCTGGTTCTTGCGCTGGCAGATTTTAAAGTAAAAAAAATGAAATGTTTGCATTACACAAGAATTTTGAACAACAGTAAAGCGTGACTGCGTGACAAAATGACGAAAGACAGTATTTTCACATTCTGCAACAAAATCTTCATCCGTAACTGCGATATTGAAAATAGCTAATAAATCATTGTATACCGAAAGAAAATAGATAGTAAGTAGGCAATGTCCTAATTTGGTAAAGTGAAAATCACTTTGCATTCATAAAATAAGTCGTAGGTACCTACATAAAACACAACTGCTGAGACAAAAAAATCAAACGCTATCAAAATAAAAATAGGTAATGCATTCAATGAAATTTAATAACCATTCACCCTACCTATCTTTCTCTCCACAATCGAAAAGTTTTAGCGCTCAACTTTATGCATACCTTTTTCAGGATGGTTTTCTTTATTTTCGAGGTTGTTATCAAGAAAACTTCGATTGGTGTGTCCAATGTGAGCTATTCCCACTCCATTGGCCACGTGATCTAGCTCAACATTACAGGTGCGAATGCCAAGAACGTTGATTGGAGCGTTATTGAGCACTCGAGTCTTCAAAAGCTGTGCAATGTGTTTTTCATTCTCATTTGTATATTTTTTATTCAAACCTACTTTACAGTTGTCTGCTAGTGGTTCGACTTCGATGACGGAGAAACTCTTGCAGTCAATCATGCTAGTTTCTTGATTCTCTTCGACGTTAGTGCTCAATGGGCTGTGGGAATTTTCCCTGTTCTCCGTGCTAGTATCCTTTTCCTGTTGTTCAGGGGTGATCAACTCCTCGACAAGCAATGTGGAGGCAGCGACATCTTCCACATTGAGAAGACCACGTTGTTCACGCGATCTACGAAGCAGCTCGTGCTTCTTCCGCCTTTTTTCTTCTCTCTGCTTTGCTTCAGTTTTACGAGCTTCAGTTTTAGCCTTTTCTCGAGCTTGTTTTGCTAGTCGTCGCCGCTCATTCAATTCTTCTATAGCTTTCTCTCTGATACATTTTTTCTCTATACTTAAGGCATGCATGTCTCTTTGTTTCTGAGCTTGCTCAAGGATTTTCTTTTTCTTCAGCATTTTTTCATTTTCTTGGTCTGCTTTCCAAGCATCCAAGGTTTTGCCAGATAAAATGGCCTTCCATCTTCTACGTCGTTCAGAATGTGAACGACCCATTGTAAGTTTTCGAGCACTAGCCGGTTTGGATATGCCTCAGGAATTAGGAAAGATGCGATAGCAGCGATACTAAGGAAGATTTGCCGATCAGATGGATTCCGCTGCCGCAAACTAAGTCGTTAGTGATTGACCAACGTTACTAGGACTAAGGACCTTGAGGTTCGGAGATAATCAAACTTCCTATCACGAACTGAGAGTAAAGTTCACCAAATTCTTTTCGACACGTCTTACCGGACTCCGATATAAATGACAAAGTATTTAAATGGCAAGACACCCACACATTGAAGCACTTTCAACGCCTACTCGTGAGAGACTGAAGTTCTGAACCAACAACACATGGCCGACGGACGCCGACGGTAACTTCACTGGCTAGAAAGGAAGTGCCCCGCCCCTTACCCCCAAGATTCTTTCCCGATCTGAAAAAACATTAGGTACCCCCGAAATAGACGAATCCGCGTGGCGATGCTTTGCACACGTGAAACGTTGACTCTTAGAAAAATGTTCAAGTAGATAATTGCGAAACTGTATAATATTATAATGTTCATTCACCATTATCAACTCCAATTGGAACAAGATCGATGTGAAATTAGAATCTATGGGATTGATTATCATAAATTCAGTTTCCGAATTTCACGTTGGGGGAGGGACTTACGTGAAGTAGTAGCTTCGTCACTTTACGATGCTCTCTCTCTCTACTCACAGAAAACTGGATTAACTTATTTTTCGCCGTATTACATAATCTCTTCCTATTCTCTGAAGGCTCCTTGCTCTTTTCAAATTCAGGTTCTTTATAAAACGTTAACGAATTCCTTGAATAATTTACCCTTAATTCATTTTGATTGGAAGCAAATGATGAAAATAAACATAAATACAATAAAAATTCACCCGAATAACATAATACCTAAATATGAGAATACATGAGTTAAAATTATACACAAATGAAAAATGGCTATAAATGCAGTGCTGATACAGAATTTCTTGGATTACGCTCTTCGGAGATCTCGAAAGATACCATGCCTAAAAAAACGGGAAAAACAAAGATCAATGGCCGTAGTAGGGTGTGAGCAATGGAAGAGACAACTGGAACGGAAAGCACTAATTCCTAGCGACACAGAAGCACGTGGTGCATTCTCGACCAAGTAAGGCTCATTGAGAGCGAATCGAGACTTCTCAGGACCCGCCTGCGGACTCAAAACGCAAAACCTAACTACACGCTCAACTTAACCAGTCATAACTCCTTCAATACTGAACGTATTTGCTTGAATTTTGTAATAAAAGTATATATTATCAATACGCTGCGATAGTAATTATTACAGGTTTTCACTTTACTTTGTTTTCAATTAAATCGAATAAACGTATTCTTCAAGCAACCTAACCACTTATAAGTCCTTCAATACGATGAGTGGTTAGGTTGCTAAAAAGATGGGTTTATTAGTTTTAATTAAAAACGAATTAATGTAACAATCTGCAATAATTCCTATCGCAGCGTATTGATGATATCTACTCATATCGCAAAATTCAAGCAAATACGTTCAGTATTGAAGAAGTTATGACTGGTTAAGTTAAGCGTGTAATTAGGTTTTGCGTTCGAGACCGCAGGGCCGTCCGAAGTGTCGATTCGGTCTCATTGAGGCGATCGATTTGCCGACGCCATGAGACATACTAGCCATGAGCCGAGATCTGGGAAACTTGCAATGATAATTTATAATTTAGAACCTTAACTTGGTTACACATAACGAAACAAGGCATTGAGTAAGGAACAAGCTTGGCTTTAATTTTTACAGATACTCCCTCATATGGATTAGGTGCGAAAACGTACTTGCATTTTACATCTTTCACAATCGTATTAAGTTCAAGGATAGGTTGTCATAGAAAATCGTAAAATCAGCATGAAACTTAATGAACGCAAACGAGAGTTTTCGATGTTTACCGATGTGTATACTTACACTCTAGTAAAATGTAGGCTCTGATTTTCATTCACACGTGCTAGCGATAGCGAGCACAGCTGGGAGCTTGAAAAGAACCAGCACACAGTGCGAACAGTGGTTTGAATGACGACCGGAAGAAGCAACTTTAGATGAAAAGCGTCCAAGATCATTTAAATCCTATTGCAAACAGAGAAGAAATTGTATATGAAGGAAAGGCCGTAACTAGATTAATGATCCAAGCCGTAAGGTGGCTAGCTATCAGTGTGAGCAGTTAATTTCTCAAAAGTTTTCGAATAAAAATGAAAAATAAGATATAATGAACTAGAAAATATTCCTTAAATAAATATTATTCAGTGTTTGGAGTAAATTGCGAAAATGCTCCGCCATAAAGTAAAAAGTTCATTAGATAATTTAAGTATTTCGTCTACACTCTTCAGCAAAGTGTATACACAATATTCTCGAATTAAAATTTATACGGTTACATCTTACATGTGGTTTGAAGATGTGTGGATTTAAGGTATGTAAATAAATTAAATAAACAATTTACATGAATGGTATATGAGACAGCAGCTGGCTCAGCCTAACTAAGCATGACTCATAAGGTACAACTCGAAATCATGCAGCCTCAGAATGTGATCAGATCAGTGACCACCCAAGCCAGCAAATGGCGAGGCCTATATATGGAATCGCACCCAATGACCTCACACCACTGGCAAGCTTACCCCTATAAAAATCAAGAAGAAATTAAAGCATTTGCAGCTCTCCACAAAGGAGAGTAGTAGATGACCAGTAGACGATATATAAAAGGTGGTTTACATAATAAGCTATTAATTCGGTCATTCTTGTCGGGGAAACCAGTGTAAAGCCCGACCGTAAGTAACATACGGGATCGTCCCGTAACTTGTAGTTAGTAAGTAATGTTAGTCCATTCTTCACATGTATGTCATTCATTCACCAGCAAGCGTCCATATCACATGTCAAACCTATTCAAACCTTGTGTACTCATTTATATGCCTGTTAATACTTTGTTGTCCGTCATGTGTAAATAAACCATTCTAAACCATCGCCGACTTAGAACCTGGGTTAACTCCATTATATAGCAAGCCCTGACTATCCCATCCGCCACAATTCTCGAACTTTGACCATAAAAAAGTAAATATATATAATCATCAAATAAAAAATACCCGTAAAAGATATCACTCGTATAAATACACAAACTGTACATGAATTCATTGGTGCGGAAACGGTGCGGTGTTCACATACGAATGAAATGGCCGTCCAGCCTTGTGAGGGCGAGTTATTGCACATTGCCCACACTAAAAAAATAAATTACACACTAAAATAAATAAATAAAAATAAATTTTGCACAGGATTGCACTGTTTAAGAAATTATCATACCGATGAATGCAAACGCATATAGTGACGAGGCTGGTTGTCAAGCGTAAAAATAGAAAACATTCTGCCGTGCTTACAGCACATTGAGAATTCTGTTGTAATAAACAGTTAAAAACTAATCGCATTTGAAAGAAATACAAGGGCTTGTAGCGTCAATATGGAGAATTTCTCATGATTCATCGTGGGATAAATGAATCGCCGTCAATGCTATTCGTATCTAAAGGCGTGGTAATGACAGTACAGTGTAATACAACGCAAATCGCTATCACGCAGACACATATATCTTCAAAAATAAACGCTACTGCACGGAAGCAGCAAACATTTAGCAGTAAAATTTCACGAAAAGCCCGCACTGAATGCCTTTAGAATTTCCAACGATGACTAGAGCCAAATACGATATAGGGATATCTTTGCTCACTGGAGTGTAGAATTCCGCCGGCAAAATAACAGACCGCTGGCTGTTTTTTCAAGACCAGTAACTCGATCACGAACGTCCAGGCAATAGAGCAAAAATAAAAATGTTATTGTATTAAGACACAGTACCGCCATTTCAATGATGACAAGCCTCTAGGTCTTGCTTGAACTACACATGCCATTCATGCTTCGTACACAGTGTACAGACAAGTTAAAGCTCCACAACAAGTAAAGCAGCACATCCACGAAAATTAGTCAGTAGAAGGCAGAAGTCAATAAAAAATACAATTTCCCAAGATTTACAACGCATATGGCAAAACAATCTGGACTCTAACTCCATTTACAAGAGTGAATGGGGAGGATTGTTATCAAGTCAGTGATTGTCGAAGTACTCACCGTCTTCCATGGTTGGATCAGCAGAATGAGTATCAGGGAGACCCGCCGACAGGTCATAATCGTGTCCAACCTGTAACCGAGAAAATATTTCCAAGATTCAAATGTTGAAATAAAAACTTAAAAACGTCAAATTAACAAGCCATTATTTGCGTTGCTTCTTGGGAGCAATTTACAGGAATTTAGCACAGCATCAGATACAATTGAATATAGTATATATAGTATGACAACTTGTAAGTGCAATCTATATACTATCTAGTCGAAATTGAGGAAAAGGCCTAGAACAATCTTCTTAGTGAACACTCAATGACCACAGAATTTAATGATGCGACAGGCAAAACTGGAAAATTTGATTTTCTAAATCACTGCAAATTTTTGTCGGCGGTAGATTAAGAAAAAATGACAGACCTGTTCATTGGAAGCGAATTGATAAGGCGGTGCAGGCGATCCGTTTCCGGCTTCTCCGTTGCCCATAGGGTCAACGGTTGCTGAGGTGTCAGGACTGAATGGATTATAGTCCCCACCCGGTTTGTTCGTAGGGGAATCGGGATTGAATGTCCCCACATTGTTCGAGAATATCTCGTAAATGGTCGAGGGTGCGGCATCCTTCTTCATCAGCCATGAGGGGTCCATCTCCCCTTCGGGAATCTGAAATCAAATTAAAAAAAAATTGTCTTCTAACCAAAGAAAGAAATGGGGTAAAAATTCCTCTGGCATGTAATTTTTTTCAGAAACTACGAAACACTGAACAATACAGCTCCAGAGAAATTAGTGTAACTGCACATAAGTAGCTAACTAATATAAGTAAAATTATGAGCTTTAAATATCGCGATACCCAAAATTTAATAATTCACTCCTGCGATTTCTACTGAAGGCTTAAAATATGACTAATTGGCACCGAAAAAATTGCACTTGATACCAAAATAAATGAATAAAATTGTACGCACCTCGCCAGCCTGGCGTCGTGCTGCCTCTTCCTCCATAAGGACGTCAACGGGTCTCAAGAAGACCACGACCGCAGTGATGTTGTCCTGCGAGCCCTGCCTGCGCGCCTGCTCAACCAGACACCTGCCCACGCCTTCACAGTCGCCTGTAACAAAAAACAAATGATGCATAAATTTCCACTGAACATAATTTTCGCAAATAACTTTATGGCATTTTGCTATGGAAGTCAAGACGGCTAACAACGTCCTGGAACGAATGGATAGATTTAATTACGATGACAGACATCTCTCGAAGCAAATGAGATTATGAGCTGAGGAACAAACATACATTGCATGCCAAAATTAAAGTAATCACATCGTGTTACACACATCACTATTTATTTGTTCTCGAGAATTTGAAGAGCGATTCAAAAATGGAAACATATGAAAAAGAACAACAAACATGTATTAATGCATTTTTTTGTTAAACGACTTAGCACGGCCTTGAAGCTATATAGTTATCTAGTGCAAACAACCGTCTGAAATTATCTTATGCTGAAACATTAATTGCCCTAAACTTTCACCGTATTCATGGGAAAGCATTATTGCAAGATCGATATAATTAAGGTCGAGCAAACGCAGCCGCGAGTGTAAATTCAGTGACAACTACACCAAACTAGCCTTCAACAGATAGAAGGAAAAACTCCGTAAGGCAAGAATTAGAGAAAAGAACAGGTCGCAGTCCCAGTATGGCGGGCTGGCGCCAGCATGACAAGCTCACAAAGCGTGCGCCACATGATAACTTCAGCAAATATGGACAAGAGACGAAGGCTGCTTTGGGAAGAGCAACTAACAAGCAAGCACACGTTTACCTCAAGTACAACGCGTTCAACGTGACGGGATGCTATGAATCATCGTAAACTATAGGTTACGGTCATCATTGCGTGCATGCGAAGTCAACTTTAAACCATCAAGGCAATCATGTTTAAAGGCCTTATACTAACTAAACACGCTACGTAACCGGTAAAATTGTCACAGACAGAAACGGACGAGACCTAATTTGTGCTAATAATAAAAAAGAAACAGCTCTGAATATCAGTACAGCCAAATCGAATCCGAAAACTCGTTGCCTATGAATCAATAACAGAACCAGGGGAATTTTTATGATATTATTGAATTGTAGTGCAGCACTTTCGAGTTCCAGTCGCCTAACATTCCCATGACGTGATGATGAACGAATCTGCGCGTAGACCTAACTTTTGCAACATATGACCAGTGCAGCGTAATCTCCTTGAATCCTTACCATTAAATAATCCCAAGGAAGCTGCAAAGACAACGGCGGCCAAGCCTTGCAGCGAACAACGTTAAAAATCCTAACACTATAAGAGGCATATGGAACATAAATCCAAGCATCCGTATGGGACTGATAAGACCTTTTCCCTCCCTGTACCAAGGCACTCTTAAGTGACAGAATGTTGTTATCGAGCTTTGCCCTGCATACTAATTCGATCAGGGCATACCAACCTCCTCTGATTAGACTATCCATGACCGTGGATGTGCAGCCGGCACAAGTAATAGCAAAATGACAAGGAGTTATCAGAGAATGTCGCACAGTAACGAAAGAAAGCATGCGGACTTGAGATAACATGTTGGACAACAGACAGACACATTTGAATAGGAAACATACCATGCGAATTAAAAGCTTTCACAAGATGCGCTCATACATTAGAGCTCGGAGGAAGATCTGAAGTTACAATACTCAAGAAAATAAGAAATATTATTCATAAACTTAATTCAGGTCGTAGATTTGATCTGATACATCTGATATCGTCGCATATATCAGATGTCTGGGTATTGAGGACCGGTGACTGAGGTCAAGTGGCGGTATTTTTTTATGAAGCTAGCCAGTTCTCGCGCGATTTATAAGCTTCATACAGCCAGTTTACTTGGCCGATCGGAGTTCGCTAAATGGACTTCAGGCTCATGTGGACAAGTACGTATATATTACACGAAGACAGCGCCAGTCGTTGTTAATTAAGTTAAAGTCGTCCACATAGTCCGACATAAGCCAAATAAGCTTCACTGTAATATTCTTCTTGGTGAGTTTTATATTCGGACTAATAAAAAAGAATAAATACTACATTTTGGTAGCAAATCACTATTTAAATTACAAAATTTCAACTCTATTGGTAGCACACACGAGCGAAGACTTAAGTACGGGTATTAGTTGATATTCTCAAAAGATTTATGTAAAATCTCACAAGAGATGAGAGAAAAAAATACCCATCATGTTCTAAAAAACACCTAAAAAACACCAGCCGAACAGACTACCTAAGCAGTCCCAGTAGAGAGCAACCGGCCAGCCATGTTACATGTCCATGTACACGGGACCTGTACTAACCAGACTCCTTGCCTCTCTCGTCCAGCATCTGAGTGCCCTCATAAGAGGAGCAGCAACAGCTGTTTATGTAATGCACCCGATCAGCGATGATTAATTTATAAAACTTTCTGAGTCGATAAGAATAACATTGCATGGCCCCATTACATCAGAATTGACGTAGAAATTTCAACAGGAATAGACAAAGAAGAGTTCAAAAGGATATTTTCAAGAACAAGGCGGCGCCAAATGAAGAAAGAAAAAAATAAGTCAGGAAAATCATTTATTAATTGAAGTCTATTGCAATGTTACTTAGCAGTGTTCGTAAATCATGACAGATAAATCGTCATGTGAGAAACATATACCTCACAAAACAAAAAATGAAAAATAAAATATGTCTTCCAAGTAAATGATCAGCGATTAGAAGATTTAAGACAGAATCAATGAGTTGAGAGCATCTTCCGTTTGTAGTATAATCTTTCAGTAATAAGTGGGATCAAGAAAAGAGTGAGCAAATTGAAATTCAATTCCGTAGGTTTACAGTACGAAGTCAGCATGATGAGTCATCGCGAAACGGGCTCATGAAGAGATAGCTCGAGAATTCGAAAGAAAGTCGGTCAATGGCCGAACCTTATGGGGCTACAGCTTGGCCATCTCATGAAAGTCGCATTCTAAGAAATTCGGCCTCAGACAAATGCAACAAATTTAATACCAAACACTCAGGTCAACACAACCAACCGACAAAAGGTTTCTCTGCCTCTTCGATCAAACTAATATACTGGATTAAATACTTGTGAAAGTTAGCGTTTTTGAAAGCTTGTTTGAAGGCAGCAATGCATGGTACATTTATAGGGCTGTCCGGGCACGTATCCACGATACTTAACTTGTCGGAATATCAAACGACAACGACGAAATTACCTGAACAGGTGGATTCGAAAATTAAAGTGATTTTTAAACTTTGGTAAAAAAATATAAAAAATACTAAATTAACATTAAAAATCAAAATTTCTTTTAAATTTAGAAAAAGGGTTAACTAAATAAAATTTGGGCTCTAGATGTGGGTTTAAAATTGTTTTTTTGGTTCAAAAATGCTTTAGCTTAGAATTGATACACGGGTTCAGATAGGACGGAATTCTCATGTCGCAGCGAATATCCATTCTGAGCAGCGCCTGATAAAGTCGCTAATAACGATGATCTATTAGAGGTCATTGAGAGAATAATTCGACATTCATTGATGAATGTAGATTTCGATACGAGTTTCATTAGTTCGGAGTAAATTCAATGAATATTAAATTTAATAATTATAGCAATGAAGTTGCTATGATAGAAGATCACCGGACAGCTTCATATATGGGATGATCATGGGCAATACATTTTTAGGAATTTTAAGCATATAGAGCACAAGCAAACGACCACCATACATGCTGAGGGAGATGCACGAATAATGGGGCCGCATCGACGAGCATATTAGCGATGCTGACCAATGTCTGGAGCAACTAAATCGAATGTGTGCAGTTAGCTAATACTATAATGCATTCAATGGATGTTCCGTCTGTGATTTTATCACAAAGAGGTCTCAAACACTTGACAACCTCAACAAAAGTTCAACGATTTTAAAAATTCAACAGTAATGGAATTAAGAGAGATAAAGTACCTGGTAATGCATTCTCATTACGTGATTTCGGGTTTTTGAAATAAACTCCATTCGAACAGTATTACTGAAGTAAGCCATGTTCAAAAGAGATTACGTTTTGTTCATAGTTTCCAATGCTCCGAGTTCAGGAACGATATCGTGACTTAGATTTATCTCATGCCAAGAAATGACGGCAGCAGATAGGGATGAAGACACTGACGAATGAGCGAACGAGTCCGCAAAAGAAGGGATGTGCGGACTTATGAGTGACAAACTTCACGAGTTGCCCAAATAAGAAGAGGCACTGGGGATGGGCCTCTTTATTCAAGAGGTGCACGCCCTCTTATGCTTACAAGTACATGTCTGGAGGTGGAACAATAAAACATGCTATCAGTGTTCACAGAGTGGATTAATAAGGAAAAGTATAAGGTCATCATATGCCGTTAACACTCGTATAGAGACAGAATCTCAAATTATCAATCGACCGCTCGTGACATAAGTATAACTATGTATGAAAAGATCAAAATGTCACGATTGTATTCCTTTGAGCGCTCGTTTTGAGTGTTTTGAATGATCAATAAATGAATAATGCTGCAAGATTCCAAACATAAGCGCAAGGAATGAATAACACGGTCATTTAATGTTCAATTGTATTCTTGAAAATTTCTACAGCAACTGCGTGGTTCGTGGACTTGCAAATAGGATACGACAAATCGCGATCGCACACAAGCAGGGTGCCATATAACGCGCACGATCTACACCCACAATCCGTGGTGAAGTTGACCCTATATAGCGAAGCCACTCAAGGCCCTAGTCATTGAGCACTCAAAAGCAACAGACAATCAGGCGAACAGTTCCTTATGCAGACATCGACCGAGAACTTATCTCTTGTGAGATGAATAGCTTGCATCAAATTTGCAAGACCAGCCTTCTCCGAAATTTCATTTTTATCAGATAAGCAGGCTAGAATATCAATGTACCTGCATTAGTAAAAATATTGGATGAGTTAAAAAAATAATAAACGCATAATAATTTTACAATGAAAAGTTCCGTTTGAAAACAGTATAGTATTACAATATGAGACAATAATTTCATCAAAAAATCAATCCCTAACAGTTGAAATACCATGAATTTACGGGGAATAAACTATCATAAAATGGTAACGCTGGTCAACTTGATAAG